CAATCTTGACTAAGTAACACCCATTTTTAACAATTTTCTGACGGTCAAATTGAAGAGAGTTGTTTGAAGAATGGATGATTGAAGATAAATTCCTCTTGTACCTTGTGTGTTTAAAAATTAAGTGTTATTTATGTTATTGATCGCTTTTGAAAGAGAATGTTATGTCAGACAGTGATGAGCCCAATAAAAGAGAATAAAATCGCATTAGCATCTCTTTGTAAAGATAATGAAAATATCTTTTGCAATTGTTATTAATAATATTGTTACCTTTGGCTTACTGGCTCCACTTGCAACATAATTTAAATCGATCCGGATAAATGAATCACGTAAGTAGATATGGAGATGATGGTATCATCAATGAATTTATAACCTACAGTAAATTTACTAGATTAACTCCTTTCACGGCATATTTCGCATTATTTTGTCTGTTGTGCAATAAGAATTCTGATAGTAACCCTGTATTTTTATTATTATTATTATGAAGTATTGAATTAAAACAAAATGGCAGAGAAAAAAGGAACATCTGTTGAAATAAAATGATGACTAAATATACAGGTGTTTTTTTAACGTTGTACAAATTATCAGTTATCCGATTAATCCTAACTGAATACATTCTTCATTTGACTTCAATGCATATATATATAAATATGTATATATAGAACTCGTTACAAACATAAAAGGGAACTGGCACGATAGAAATAACTTACCCTTGATAAAGATAAAATCAACAAAATAACCTAAAACAACTGTTTTCCTCTAATAGTAGTATAATGAATCATTGCTACTGACTAGGGAAACAACAAAAAGAAGTGAATGGATGTACTTCATCCTTTTATTACTATACCAACTCTTCACTGTGCAGGAAAATAATTAGATAACAACTAGTTTGATGCGAAAATTAACCTATGAGTGATAAAATTAAAAGTGAGTAGTAAACCGATTAATGCTATGATGAATTAAATTTCAAAGTCTAATTTTAAGTCTCAGAAAATCTGATCACCTTGTCTTTTATGATGGTGATGAAGTAACTTATTGAGTTAAATCGGTGATTCAGTTCTTATTCTTTAACTTTTTGTACTAATTACATAAATACAGTTGATTGATGGTGACTAGTAGGGGACGCGATTTGTCTCACTCGGGACTGATCATTTGGATGTACCTACATTCCCCAATGAGTGATAGTGTTCCAACCGAGGCTCGAACCCAATGTTGAAGCATCTAAACGAGGAGCCGATATGTCATCCTGAGACCAAGCACTTCAGTTCAGTCGATCGACGGGGAAAGTTTTAACTGGACTAATTACTTACATGAATTCTCAAGTATTGGTTTTGCAGGGATTTTGTTTGATTAATTGGGGGATTTCATCATGAGCTGACATCATTCAGAAAAACATTGGAAAGCCAACAGGGAGTACAGGACAGCTGTTTTGTCAACCTAGTCTGGGACTCCTCATCAGTACGCACCCACCACTAGAGTTCGAACCCAGGACCTTCTGGTTACAAGGCTAGCTCGTAGACCGATAAGCCACTGAGACCCAATTCAATGGTTCATGAATTATAACTTCTATCATATTCATGAAATAGCGCTACAACTTCACAATTCATGAGACAATATATGAGAAAAATTATAAAACCGTCTGACTAAATTGATATAATTATGAGCAATAATTTATCCTCGAAACGTCATCCAGTTGTTAATACTACATTGCTATGTGACTACCAAAATAAACTTATCTAATATGGAATAACATTCTACCACAGTTCCTGTGTTCTACGCTTACATTCAGTTGATATGATCTTTCAAATGCAGGTTGTGAGAATCACTGACTTCAGCCAATAGTTTTGTAGCTAATTTTCAGTTAATTAATTCATGCGTGAAAAAAGTTTCACCAATCTGTCTATTGTCTGAAGTATTACCAACAAGTTTTAAGCCACGACTTCCAAACGGATAGTGATATAAAGGTTAGGTGAAAATGACCTTTTCTTGGTAATTTATTAGTTGGTGTTTCTCAGTGCCCTCCAATTTTTTCGTACACACTGGAACAACAAATCTATAAAAGAACAGTTTTTATTCCTTCAGATTCCCAGTGGAACATAGGGGTTCAAGCTTGAGCTTTGAAGTTTCAGTAATAGTGGTGTTTTTATGGGGTGGAGTTGCTAGCCTCACGCCCGACCTTCCTACCTGTTCCAGTTGTAACAGGCCAGGGGAGGTAAAGGTGTGCACCTGCCGGGCCTCGAACTCGAGACCACATGCATGGTTGGCCAGCGCTATCTAAAAGTATCTAATTCAGCCTAATAATCATTGTATTATTCATCACTAGTGAGTCAGGGCTGGCTGATGAAATCCCCGCCAACCACGCATGTGATCTAGGTTCGATTTCTGACCAACGCACTCCTTAACCTCTCCTGATCAGTTATAAGACCAGAAAAGAGAGAAAAAAGGACGTGTGGATAGTTACTTCACACTGTGAAAACAGTACCACTACTACAAAAATTTCAAAGCTTGATGTCCCATGTTGAACTCTAAAAGTAAGGAACAAGGCAAAAGGTAGGATGTGTAAATTAAACACCCTTCGACTGCTCTGTTGCACTCTTAAACAGTTACCGGCCAGAAACTATGAGTACTTCCACAAATATATACTAAAATATTGTTATTTAGGATGTTATGATGCTTAGTCCTATATTTTGAGTCAATTACATAGACTTTAACTTCGCACCAGCTTCATTAAAGTAAGCAAATTAAAATGAAGTTTTTGTTCGTACGTGAGGTTTTTCGATCTGACAAGTATGTCCACCCATCCAAGTATTCGTGCTAGGCCAAATATATTAGAAAAATGCAGAATAGAATTCCTTTTCTGAACATATTCCAAATAATTTGATCACTGCACTTATGAATTATATTAGAGATTGTGTTAATGAATTAAAGTCATTTTAGATACCAAACAAGCTAGACAGACTCAATCCTTTAGGGTTTGTCGAATCTGTTGGGCACAATCAGTGTACAAGATACAATTATTAATTTTCTGTTATCCACTTATCATGAATTTTCTCATTATGCTGCAACATACCAGCTGACAGTTTCCAGTCAGAAGTGCTCTTCTGTTTGTACAAACCAACTTCCACATTGAACACTTATGATCAATGCTTAAAAGCTTACCTAATCTGTCTACACCATTTTTTTCATTTTGAGTTCTGAAAATGTTTATCTATCATATCTCAGAAACTTCTACATCAAGCGTAAACACCAGAGTCTGGTCACTAAACTCATTTTCATAGAGAAAACAAGATTTATGTGAATTCTCACAACATCCGAACGATGGCGTCACTTCCTATTGTGTTTACTAATTTATGTGCGTGTCTAATCACACGTACATGGGAGGACACATCGATTTCTAAACGTCAAGGCTACAGAAAACATTCTAAAGCTGTTGAAAAAAAAATAAATTCGTTGGATATAATTAATTCTGGAAAAAAGACGTCCAACATCGTCTATCGCAAAGCACATCATACGGACAGGTCGCAAAGTTGACTTCAATAATGTCTTTAAACCCAAGTATGAGACAGGTTTGGGTCATATACATAAATTTGTTGAAGCCTTAGCTATAAAAAGGCTTAAACCTGTTTTATATGTTCGAAAATTATTAATCAATAATCTGGATCTGCCTTGGTAATCCAACTTCAGAACGAAGGTTCATTTCACTTAGTGATATTTTTACCTCCACCTTTTTCCATACCCTGATTTCCACCTCACTCTCCTACCTCTTATCTGTGACCATGACCTGTCAAAGTTTTTACCTATGTTGATAAAAACTGTATACATATATGCTCTGTTGGGCCCTATGTAAATATGTATGACACGTACATGTGTGATCAGAATATTCTAAATGTGTTACGAAGTACACTACGCGTTTTTGACAGATTATATCTTATTGTTTTGTAGAATATAAAATTATTTTATACCAGTATAATTAAATTCGATCTTCACTGATATGATCTATCTCAGGCACATATTTAGCTGTGAAAACCTTTTGCTCAATGCATGTTAAGTTTTCGCTGTTTATAAGGTAACAGACAGTCCTCTGACTCATATGTCTATTATTTAAATATTCCCGTTAAGATAATTTCAGAACAGTACTTAATCAAGAATATAATATAATAAGTCTAGCTACTTCAGCAAGCATTTAGAGGCAGTTAAATAGGTAGAACTACTCACAGAGCTCTATGTCGCCTTCTTGTTCAAAGTGGTTAATTAAAGGAATCGTAAAGTCGATTTGGAGTACCATATTAACACACCTTGTGGACACAGATCAAAAGATTGATAAAAACTCCGCCTTTACGATTCTCTACAATGTGTCACCTCAACTCCCTAAGTTTGCACGCTTCAATTACTAAGCCTAACTGAGCTAGTTGCCATCAAAGTATTCAGTTCAATCGTTGGATTCAGAAAACGTTTGTTCAATCCTTTGCCCCACTATCCTTCAACCCCAACTTAGAATAGTTACTCTGGTTCTTATTATCAACCTACTTACATTCTGTTTGGTAGTATTTTACGCTACAGATTCACTTTGTTTCAAATATCTATGATTAATATTTCATTATGTATTTGTAAAGCCTGACGAGTGCCTCGGTGGCACAACGGTAGAATGCTCACTGACCACGTATGTAGTTCGGGGTTCGATCCCCAGCCGACGTACTCTTTTACCTCGCTAAGTCAGTAATGAGAGTGGTTGGGCATGAGGTCAGCAACACTTGTTAGTAAAAATCAACACCACTACTATAAGAACCAGAACCCGTGCACTGTGGTAGAGTATAGTTCCATTATGGTTAAAATTTATTTTGATAGAGTCTCACACTGTTATACAGTAATATTTACTATTGACGTAGTAGAATCAAGCTGTAATCAAAAATAAAATTTAAAAAATAAATAAAAATAAAATAATAAGTCATATCTTATCAACAGTCAAACTTGTTAAACAAAATTTACTGTCATTTATGACTTACTTTCATTAAAATCACTGAGTAATGTGGTGATCCAGGAAGAATTAAATCATACGCTTGCCTTATCAAATCCCTTAAACAAGCTAAACATGCATTACATCTGGTTACAGATATTGGCATTGAGTCATTTGAACCAGCTTGCAGAATAGATTGTAGGACAGACATTGTTGTATTTTTTTGTGGAACTACTTCATTATTTACTGAATTGTTATCAGACTTGTTAATAAAATTATTTGACCTCATTTCTGAAGAAAAATTAAAATTGATGAATGATTTTAAATCCTGAGTTGGTAAGTTGGGCAATAGCGTATTTGAGCACGCTATCTGATGATTACTTAAAAAGTTCATAGTCGAATTTATTTCTCAATATTGAAAAACACCCGAATGTATGAAGTTATATTGTGTATCTTGAAATGCTGAACACCTAAAATGTTTAGAAAAGATATTTATGTGAGAGGATTACAGAAATCTGTAGAATATAAATGTAAACAGTAACAATCAGTTTTAAATGAAGAGTGACCTCGTTCATGAAAACATTACAAATCAGGTGTGAAACAACTTACTCCACAATGAAACTGGTGGTCATTATTTCATCTGACAAGCCAGTGAAAGCTTCACAACGAAAGTATCCACCTCTAAGAACACACCACACTACTTAGTTATCAGCGTTTTACAAACAATTTAACCGAATCTTCACCAGAATACCTACATATATGCAGTTACCATAATAACTTAATACATAGAAAACTTGCTAATTAAGACTTTCGCTTTATAACAGCTGATCTAAAGTAAGTGAGAAACGCCACGGTACCACAAAATTATGCTTCTTCCAGAATCACTTTCAAGTAAAGAGCAGGCATAGATTTCACAGAAGGCTTGAACAACATACATTTTTGATTGTTGCTGCACAAAAGCTATCTTTGATCAGATCGATGTGTAAGAAGTAAAAATTGATTCGCCTTACCCTTTAACCAGTAATATCTTTAAAATCATGATAACACAATCAAATGTTTATTCACAATCCACATATGCTCTAGACCATAGTACAACTGCGACACCTAGATAATCATACTGTTACCTATGTATTTCAAGCAGAATATCATTGCTGACGGGTGCCAACTAGCAGGAAACCTAGGTCTAAGGCTTCCTGCCTACTGCCTCCAACTATCTAATATCCTCAGAATATCATTATGTTATATCTCCGAGTCAGGCGGTATCATCTAGAAGTTTAGGACAAACAGTATTTCATATTATTTCGGCTTATTGTGAATACTACTGCTACAACTATTCTACCGATGCAAATCCATAGGTATTTAGGTGTATGAAGCACACAGTGTTCAGCAAAGAGGCTGTTTCAACGAATTTATTTTCAAGCTGTACAGATATATACATAGACATAATTTTTAAGAAACAGTATCCCAAGAGGAAGTTAAAGCAGTATATATGAATGCTGGTGATAATAATAGGAACTGTAACACCTGATTTGTAACTGGAATCACATTTCAAAATCAGGGGATAAAACCGATTGCGAAATATTTGAAATAGCTTATTGACTGTACAGGTCATTGGAATGGGTATAAAATTAAAAGGAATAGTGGGACAATGAAACGTGTCGTGATGAGTTAAGAAGTCTGATATGAGGTTAAAAATCAAAACTTCATTGTATTGCACTAATAAGGAAGACAAAAGACAAAAATGCCACAAGCTGTTCAAAATAAAGACGAAAATCGTATTTATAGGAGAAAGACAAATAGATTAATCAAACAAGATATAAAAATAACAGAAAAATGAACGTTTCTTTTATACAGAAAGGTTCGGCTTAAATTCATGACTAGTTAAGGTCTCTTGCGTCTTTAGAATTTCAGCACAAAGAAAATGCAGCATGTTTCCATGAATTCGTAAAATCGCTGACAGAGTCGGTTGTAACAAAGTTCATCAAGTGTTTTAAAATAGAACTTGCCACATATTTCCTTTGTCATATGTAAAACCGTGCTAAGACTTGAACTCTTCTCTGTGTGGAAAGCATTATGTACCTACGGCAGATGTACGATTGTCTTTTGCATTTCTTTGCGTTACGAATTGTACATACGGCTTCAAGCTTGTGCTCTGTAGTTTCTGTGGCGATGGTATTATTATCTTTTCACGGAACGTGACTAACAGATTAGTGCCCATCCTCCCCTCTTTAACAGGCTTACTGCCGGCTAACCTACATTTAGTGGTGTTCCAGTGGGGTTTGAACTCCAGACTACGTTCGTAGTTGGGGAACATTCTACGGGTTAATCATCAATGCATCAAATTAGTAGGAAAGAGCTTTTTCTCTGAATACTGTTTTCTTAGTGCCCTAATGGGAATAATTAAGTTAGTAGTATGTACATGTTTATCTTAAAATATAATTTCTTCAAATATATCTTTTGGTTTTCGTCAATGTTATGAATGTAAGATAAGACTGGTCCTATTCAGGTAGGTAGTTACCTGGTTCATGACCAGTGGGGTAGAGCAGGTAGGGTGTGAGGAAGAATGCACCTTACTGACGTTGGCTGTGGCAGAGCTATATCGTGAGTTGGCAGAAGCTGGAATTCAAGAGCTAACCATTGTATGGTGTTGCAGTAGCCCAATGGTCTATGAGCCTGCCTTGTATCCAGGGGGTCCTGGGTCCGAATCTTAACAGTTGGTGCGTACTGTTGGAGGGTCCCAAACCAGCCTCACGAGACAGCTGCCAAGTACTCGTCGCTGGTCTACCAATGGTTCTCAAAAGGATGTCAGCTCATAATTAAATCCACAAACCTACCGAATAACCGCCAATCAACATTAGAATAAAAGTAATTATTTTGTAAAAAGATTTGTAAATGTATTAAAGTTATGAAATCTGTCTACATGGCTAAATTTATATACGGCGAGAAAAAAATTAAAAACAGTCAGTAACCAGTGCATCGATGTAGAAATTATTTTAGGGATTCAGTTATGCCTCACATCTACTATCTTTAAGTTCCAAGACAAAATATATAGACAAACAGAAGGTGTAGCAATGGGATCACCAATATCCCCTATCGTAGCAGACATATTTATGGACAGCTGGGAAAATAGTGCCCTCAATACATTTAACCCTACTCCGAAAATATGGTGGAGATATGTGGATGACACTTTCACAGTGTTAAAAACAGAACACATCTCTAGCTTCTTGACACATATAAACTCACAAGTTGAGGGAATAAAATTCACATTTGAATCAGAAAATGAACAAGGAGAATTAGCTATGTTAGATTGTAAGATAAAAAGAATAGAAGAAGGCAAACTACACACTAGTGTTTATAGAAAACCAACGCATTCTAATAGATATTTAGACTTTAATTCGTCTCATCCTTTAACTGTTAAGGCAGGCTTAGTTAAATGTTTAACAAACCGAGCAGTGGCACTAAGTAGCACAAAAAAAGATCTAAATGATGAATTAAAACAGATAGAAGAAGCGTTGGTGTTGAATAACTATCCTATAAAATTCATTAGGAAGATCATTAAAGGCCAAAAACAAAATAAAAATAATTGTGAAACTAGTAATAATAACATAAATAAGAAAGAATATAAGTCATCCACAGTTATACCATATAAAGAGGGGACATCTGAGACACTACGTAGGATTCTGAATAAAATAGGAATTAGGGTGGCATTTAAACCTACAAACTCACTCAGGGACAAGCTCTGTAGGTTAAAGGACCCAGTTGACCCAATTAGACAAAATAATATTATTTACAAAATACCATGCAATGACTGTGAGGTCAACTACATAGGTCAAACTAGTAGGTCAGGGGTAGTCAGATTGTCAGAGCATAAAAATTTAGCTAAGGTAAGAATGGTTGACCCCGAGAAGATAAATAATTTAGAAAAAAGCTCAGCAATTGCAATGCATGCGCTAACACACAACCACACAATAGGGTGGGAGAGGGTTAAAATTCTAAAAAGTAATCTAGGTAGGTGGAGAGAGAGGTTGATTACTGAATCCTTGTTCATCGAGTCTACACCCAACACATGCAATAGGAATGACTCGTCACTCATACCTGAAATATGGAAAATACTATTACCAATCAAATCAAGTGAAAATCAAGAGAAAAACAATGGAACTATATAAATGAATTTAGGAAGTCGTGTGATTACCTTGATATGATTATGAGCAATAAATTGTGCTCGAAACGTCATCAGTTCATATAACTGTAAACACTGTGCGATTTATCAAAATAAAAATCTTATCTATAATGGAAGTAACCAGTGCACTTTATGAAGATTTCTATGAAAAACCTTCAATACTCAAAAAAAAAATAAAAGAAAGAACTTATGTCACCATGATAGACTATATACCATTACGATCAGCTTTATTCTCAAATAAAAAGTCATTCTGGTTCAATGGCAATACAATACATAAATCTTTATCTAATATAATATGTTCTAGTTAAAAGCACTTAAAATCATCTATCATGTGGTAATTGTCAAAATTGATAAATATTGAAATGCTGGTAACTTGTTAAAACCTAAAAAGGAACTTCCTGTCAGCATACAAAAATAACGTTGATTACTTTCCATATAAATTCGAAAAATTTATACTATTTTCAAATGAATTTGGTGACTTTGATATAATTCCTTGTTCGAATTGTCAACTTACACAGTTCAAGGTAAATTAAACTTTCATCTGGAAACCGAAATTGTTCAGACAAAACATTATGATCTGTATTATTTCATAAATGGAGATCAAGAAGGCAAAATAGATGCATGAGGCTACACACTACTGATTGGCTGAGTTGAGTAGTAGTATGCCACTCATATCAATCAGTAGGGTTTGCTAGCTAGAGCTAGGTGATAAAACAACGGACGGCTGTTTCTGTCGTTATAGCTTGAGCTCAACAGAAGTTTGACTCAGTTCAGGCAGTCAAATCCGTTCAAACCTCTCGATTTCTGATTAGCTACATGAGCGAACAGATAATGTCAGAAATCAAATTTGTGATTTACACAATTCGCAGGAATCAAAATTATTTAGATGACAGCATGTAATCTTGTTGTATTGATTAGTACTCACTGACGTTAATTCCAACTCCATGAATTTATGCATAACACTATATAAACTTAAATCGGGCCAAAGGAAAAATCATCAGCTCTACCGGCTGAGTATAAGACTGGGCTAGAAATTCAGAGGCCACAAGTATGAATACCACTGTTATCCATGTCCTCATTTAGGCTTAAATCACTTTTTTTAAATTTACATTCCTTTACGTTACCAACAGAACATAGGGCTTTAAGATAGACACTTGAAGTTTCGGTAGTAGTGGTGATTATTTTCACAAGATGGGGTCGCTAGCTTCATGCCC